TCACTGCGATCTTTGGGCCGCTAGCTGATGAGGGTGCTTCTTTAGTGTCTAGAATGATCGCAGCCGGCGCGGATCAACCTCTCCACTGGCTTTGGGTTGACTCTTGTCGGCTCGACATCCTCGGTGGGCCTGTGAGCCCTTGAGTGCATCCTTTTTGTGCCCAGTCCATTGTAGCTTTTGGCCAAGAGGGTCCATGTGTTCCAATGTTTGAGCCCTCATGGCACGACGATGTCATGATCATCGCGTCCCTACCTCTGGGTACGGTTGCTGCTCTCGATGAAGAGCTGGCGCAACTTGTCACTAGGGAAGTGGGTTCTGAGTGCAACACGGTTCGATTCACTCAGCATGGCGCGTAGCGCGCTCAGGGGGGCCTCCTCCTCGGATGCACGCGCCTCCAAGTGATAGCTGACAGTTCACGTAGACATGTTGTTTGGATTGCTCGTCATGTAGGGGTGGATCATGGTTCTAGGTTAGGCCCCCACGTGGCATGGCGCCGCCCCGCCGTCGGGCCACCGGCGACAATGCCCTGTGGCAGTGGGTAGTTTCGTAGTTCATGTGCGCCCTAGATCATTGCGTTCCACCGGCAGCAGTGACGCTGCCCGGGCCGTGGCTCTACCGTCGGGTCCTGTTTTCCCACGTGGCGAGTCTAGACTAGGTAGCAGGTAGTGACGGGCGTTGATCCATTGATTCAAGCAATCCCATGACTCCCTAGAAGGATATGGCCACTGTGGGCCATTCCTCGGGCGAGCTCGCCATGAGCCATAGGCCTCTAGCTTCCTGGGCAGAAGTCTTGGCCTTAGCCAATGATGGGCAAGGGTATTAGGCCCCTTACGTAGGTGAACTCCGGGATGCAGCCCCCGAGGGCAGTTCTAGGAGTGTGTCCACCATGGATCACTAGGTCCAGACCTCCTCTAGGGTGGAGGTCCAGGTCGCAACTGAAGGCAGGCGCGGGCTCTAACCCTTTGGTGTGGTTAACCGCGTGGTTTCCTAAAAGGATGTGGCCAGTCAAGGCCATTCCCCGGGTGAGTTTATTATGAGTTATGGACCTTTGGTTTCCTATACGGGAGACCTGGTCATGGCCGGTGATGAGCGAGGGTACTGGTCCCTCTGGGTAGGTGAACTTTGGGAAGCAGGCCCCGAGGGTAGTTCTGAGAGTGTGCCCACCGTGGACCATGGGATCCATATCTTCAGGATGGAGGTCCAGGCCACGGTTGAAGGCAGACGTGGGCAGTGGCCCTTTGGCGCCGATGAACTCATAGTTTTTGTGGTGGATGTGGCCACCATGGGCCATTCCACGAGCAAGTCCACTAGCGGTGTGAGGATCCATTGCTTCCTTCTCAACAATTGAGAGTGCACGATTGCCCCCTACCTGGCGCGCCAACTATCGGTGTTTTGTAAATAGGACTAGTAAACTTATACGATTGCTACGCTGCTCTAGGAAGACGATGATAGCATCCAAAAGACACAAGAATTTATATTGGTTAAGGCTAGAGCCCTACGTCCAGTCTCAGAGATGATCGAGTGCATGTTCCTCGCTTGAATGCTCTGAAGTTCTTACAATAGGGGATGCAAGAATGGTGGAAGAGGAAGAAGAGCTAGAGCTAGGAGATGGGCATCCCAAAGGGAAGCTTTAGGAGCCCTGCTATGATGGAGAGTGAGTGAATGAGTATGGGACTCAGAATCTTTGGAAAGGGTGCCCTGGCTACCCTTATATAAAGTTCAGGGCTAGGGCACATACAAAGGAGGAGGTTCTCCCGACCGAAGGGTCATTAGCCTAAGGGAGGGACTAGCTAACTAAGCTTGCAAGCTACGCCGTCTTGTGGAGTATGCCCAGGCGTCGCTGTCATCATCGCCTTGTGGCCATGTCATGGCATGGTGTGGCGTGGTGCTTCTACGCCGATCGTGGTGGCACTGTAGGCACAGTGATGGTGTGCTAGCCGATCTATGTGACATGGTCTCCGTCATGGTCTTCATCATCGTCTCCTGGTTTCCTGGGGTGTCATACGGGAGTTGGTAGCCGCCCCCAGGTCATCGATCGCTTGGTTGTCTTGAGGAGCTAAGGGCCACAATCCCGATAGCTGGGGTCATGGTTCCTCGCCGGTCTAGATGGCCTTCGTCATTGATCCCATCCCATAGTGGGTGGGGTCATACCTGCATCTTGTCATGCCATATTTGGCTAGTGGTCATCGTACCTATCATCACCGCTTTAGAGTGGTATTGTCTTGTCTTTGTGGTGTGGAATAGGAATGGTGTCTAATCGGACTAAGGTGACTGTTGTCCCCTCGATCCTTACAGGGTTAGTGCGGTGTGCTTGTTCTTGTCAGAACAGGCACGCTTGGCTAGGCTCGACCTCTCCCTGTTCCTCCCGGGGGTCGTGATGAGGGAGAGGTCATGCGCCCTTCGAGCGCTCTGCTAAGGCATGGGAAGGGGTCACAGCTGACCCTAGCCTTAGCGTACGACCTGGTTTGCTTGGCTTGGCTGAGCCTCGGTCGTTCGGGCCTTCGCTAGCTAGTGTATTACAAGCCGCGTGGCCTGCTAATTAATCGGTGCCTTGAGACACCCCTGGGTTATGACCCTGACAAATCTTGTCTCCAACCTTCTCACCACCTCTACCATAAGAGTTTTGCTCAATGGTGAACCAGGGAAGAAATTAAACATCAGCACGGCTTCCGGTAAGGAGATCCATTATCTCCAATGCTGTTTATAATTGTGATGGATGTCTTGAATTGTTTTTCTATCAGAGCTAGTGATTTGGGCCTATTGTAGCTGCTCTCTAACTGGAAGCTGGGCAAAGACTCTCTCTTTATGCCGATGATGTTGCCCTGTTTATTAAGCCCTTGGAGGAAGAGTTACATGTTACCAAAGCGATCCTAGATATCTTTGGTGAAGCCTCAGGCCTGAAAACCAACCTTGGTAAGAGTTGTATTACTCTGATTCAATGTAGAGATGATACTTGGGCAGAAGTTAGCAACACGCTACCATGTACAGTTTCAAAATTCCCTTGCACTTATTTGGGGATCCCAATCTCAAACAAGAAACTTAGCATAGCATCTTTGATGCCTTGGGTTTAGAAGATTGCAGATAAGCTCCCAAGTTAGAAAGCCACCCTCATGAATAGGGCTGGTCGTGCTACTCTAGTGAGATATGTGCTCTCAGCTATTCTAGTGTATCTCCTAGTCGCTATCAATGTCCCAAAGTGGTTTATCAAATTGATTAACAAATTTAGAAAAGGATTCCTTTGGAAGGGCAGGGAGCAGGCTAATGGAGGCTGCTGTTTGGTTGCTTGGGAGAAGGTACAATGACCGATTAACCTTGTAGGCCTTGGCATACTTAATCTTGAGGCCATGAGCTAGGTCCTGCAGATGCGATGGCAATGGCTCAAGAAAACTCGAGCTGATCATCCTTGGGTTGATTTGGAACTGTCTTGTCATGCTACACATTGGCATTATTCTCTATTGCAGTAACAACCCAAGTTGGAAATGGCAACAACACATTGTTTTAGACAGATCGATGGCTCCATGGATGTTCGATTTCTGAGTTGGCACCTACAGTGTTGCTTGTGTCAGACCTCAAATTAAGACCAAAAGAACAGTGGCAGAGGCACTTGAAAATAATGCTTGGGTGAGTCATATTCAGGGAGGCATGTCCATGATCGGACTCTTAGAGTACTTGCACCTTTGGGATGGTCTTAGGGAGGTTGCGCTCTCCTAGGATGATGATCAACATATTTGGAGATTTGATGCCTCTGGAACATACTCCGCCAAGTCTACCTACCAAGCTTTCTTCTATGGTTCAGTGACATTTGAGCCTTGGCAACATTTATGGAAGTCATGGGCCCCTGAAAGATGTAAATTTTTTATTTGGCTCGCCATCAAAAACCGATGTTGGACAGCGGATCAGCTTGCTCACCGAGGATTGTCACATCCAGAGAGATGTCCATTATGCGACCAAGAGGAGGAGACTATTCAACACCTACTCACTAATTGTGTGTTCTCACGTCAAATATGGTTCATCATCCTTTCTCCTATGGAGATGGATGAAGCAGTACCACAATAGAACGAACATAGCTTTGCTGATTGGTGGGCCAAGTGCATTCGTAGAGTCAAGAAGGAGTACAAAAAAGGGGTTAATTTGTTAATCATTCTGACATCTTGGCTGATATGGAAGCACCGCAATTCTTATGTCTTTGATGGAGCTACTCCATCCATTAACGAGGTCTTGAGACAGTTTAGAGATGAGTACAAACTGTGGTGCTTGGCTGGAGCTAAGAAACTCCAAGCACTTCGGTTAGATGGGGTAGGGACCTCTAGTTAGGTGCATGTGCCTAGTTGTCGGTCGTCAGGTGTCTAATAGGTGATAATGTTGTAAGTGTCCCAACCTTCTCATGTATGGTACCGGCATGAGTTGGTAATGTACTCGGGCCTTTATTTCCTCTCTATAATACAATGAGACGTAGCCCTCCTACGTATTCGAGAGAAAAAAAGGAAAAGCGGTTTGGTAGTATTCCTCCGGCAAAACTTTGGGCTTCTCGCATTCCAAACCAATAAGAAAATTTCATTTTGGTCTTAGACAAGAGGGCTATGTTAGTCCAAATCAATGGTTCTTATTGAAGAATTTGTATTTAAATGGCAAGTTAAGTTCCCCAACAACATCGTTCTTTAAGAGGCCAAGATGTATCTTAATCCAAGTTGATAACATTGGAATTCAACTTCAAATGCATTTTAAAATTCATGGAGTGGTGCACATAATTAAGCTGTTAATTGGTCACACGACGACTTGGCGTTTACTAAACATAATAGTGTGCGCGTAGTGTCTATATATGATCATTGAACAATGGAGGCCATGTCGTGTCTAGCATCGTGGCCTTGCTGTCCTACTTTGCCTGGAGATCTGCTCTTGACTGACTCTTCACTCATAGTGTCAACTGTGCAGGCTATAAATAGGAGACACCAAAGTCACACATTCGCCAATTCAAGTTTACAACCCTATGCCAAACTCCAATGGAAGATCGTAGAATAATAGTCCCCTATATCGCCATTGTCTTCCTTGTCCTCATCCTCATGCCGACGCGAATGGTTAGAGCTAGCAAATATCCACACCTGACCATGACCCCAAGACACAAAGCAGTTAGACTACGGAAGTTCTTCAAGAACCACGCGTCGGACATGGCCGATCTCCTCCCTAGTCGAGGCAAGCAGGGCTGTGGTGGCGGCGGCTATGACGATCAAAGCGAGCCTAGCAGTGGCCAGCAAGGCAGCAAGCCGGCCGGCGACGGGAGCAACGGTGGGTAGAGCCGGTAGGCCCCGGCCACCAACGCCGACATGTTCCTTTACAGCTACCAAGTGGGCATGCCCCCACAGAGCGTGTCGGGCGCGCTGGACATCTCCAGCAAGCTCATGTGGATGCAGTGTGGCTCGTGTGCCACATGCGGCGTCACACCGGCCGCGCCCTTCTACTCGACGCTGTCCACCACAATGGCGGTGGTGCGATGCACGAGCGACGTGTGCCAGAACTTCGTAGCGCAGAACTACAGCGTGGACGTCCCTGGGTGTGGCTACATGTACATGTACAGAGGCGGCGAGGCCAACATGACCGGGTAACTCGCCACCGAGTCGTTCACGTTTGACACGACCCGTGTGGACGACATCGTCTTCGAGTGCGGCCCGACAACGTGGGCGACTTTGGCGGCGCATCCAGCGTGATCGGCCTCGGCAGGGGCCCCCTCTCCCTAGTGTCGTAGCTCGACACCAGCGCTTCTCCTACTACTTCGCCCCCGACGGTGACACTGACAACCAGAGCTTCATCCTCTTTGGCGATGACACCACGCCGCAGACCAAGTGAGCCTTGACCACCCCACTCCTGGCCAGCGATGACTACCCCAACATCTACCTCGTCGGGCTGACTAGCATACAGGTCGATGGCAAGGACCTTGGCATCCCGCGGGGCATGTTTGACCTCCATAAGGACGGTTCCCACTACGCTAGATTCTCACACTAGGAACGGGGGCATTTTTACTGTAGGGGCGGCTTGGGGTTGGGGCGCTCCTACAGTGGGCATCCTCGGGCCCCATCAGCCCAGCCGCCCCTACAGATGGCACTGTAGGGGCGGCTGGTAACCTGAGCCGCCCCTACAGTTGGGGCTGATCTGTAGGGGCGGCTCAATCACTAGCCGCCCCTACAATGCCCATTTGTAGGGGCGGCTGACACCAGCCACCCCTATTGTTCAACTATAAGGGCGGCTAAATCACCAGCCGCCCCTACTGATGGTGCATGAATAAATAGCAATCACCCCTTCTTCCACCTCGGGACACACTCTTCTACATAAAAAAAGGTTGGGAGGCCTTAGGCTCCTCCTAAAAATTGCACTACTAAGGGGGAGGTTTTGATCTCAAATCCTTTGGTGGAGAGGCTCTAAAAGGTAAGGAAATGCTTCTTCAACTCTTTATTTGAAGTTTAATTCGTTGGTTAGTGAGTAATTTGATTTTTGGTTTTCTCTCTCTTCCATGGAGCTTGAGCTAGTTATGAGTGAAATTGGACCCTAATTTTCACTATACTAGGGTAAATTAGGTAGGGAAGTAAGATTGCACCCTTTGTTAGTACATCTTTGTTGATTTTAGTGTAGTATTAGTGAAGTTTGGTGCATGTGTCATGAAACCCTATATCTAGATCTAGATCTAGGATTTTGTTTTTTTTTTCTTTTCAATTTTTTCTTTATGTGACTAGGGTTTGCATGTAGGTGAATGTGTAAGATTTTAATTGTTGCTAATGTGTAAAATATCCTCTACCATGGCCACTAATTATCATTTAATATTTATTTTGATTCCTTTCTATAATGTGTGTTTTTAATTAGTTATGGATAAATAGGCTATTAATTAATTATCCTCTACCATGAAATTGGAATGGAGTTTGCATGAAAGGTAGTGGATGAAATATTAAATGTTGCTAATTGTTTTCTTTGAAATTGTTTATTTGAACCAATTAATTTATATTTTAAAATATTTATGCATTAATAGTCAATTAATTAACTATCCTCTACTACCATGATGCGTGTCTCAGGTATATACAATTATTCTCGAGTAATATTCTTTCTTTGGTTGTTTTGTTTCTATAAGATGGACTACAGGAACTCTTGGATGTATGGTTCGTTAAGACACGACGCTCTTTTCCATGATGAGGTGGACAAATTCATCAAAGCCGCAGAGAAGCATGCAGCGACGTTGAAAGAGAATAGTGACACGATTATTTGTCCCTGCAAAGATTGCAAGAACCTTATTGCATTTCAAGATGTGAGTACCATCAAAGAACATCTGATTAGGAGAGTATTTGTTCTAGACTACATAGTGTGGATTCATCATGGTGAAACAGTGGTTGTTGATGACAGCGACGATGATCTAGCTGATGAAGCTGAAACCCAAGCATACTTGTCCTGATTCACAGACGATCTTGAGCAACAAATGGATCATGACTATGGCAATCAACAAGGTGGTGGCTTTGGCAATCAACAAGGTGGTGGCTTTGGCAATGAACAAGGTGGTGATGATGCTGGTGGTGCCAGTAATGATGGCGAAGCACGTGAGGGGGATGCAGATGACGGTGATAACTTGGACGAAATGCTTGGGGCATTTGGACCAGAAATATTAGAAAAGAGCAAGAGAGGTCTAGAAACTCTTGAGAGGGTGACAAAAGCATCGAAGAAGACTGTGTATGATGCTGAGAAGGGCTGTCCAACATACTTCACACTGCTATGTTTTGTGCTTGAGCTACTCATCCTGAAGGCTAAGTACGGCTGGTCGGACTGCAGTTTCGATGATCTATTGTGCCTCATGTCACGGTTGCTCCCACGACCGAACACAGTTCCCGCCAACACATACCAAGCAAAGAAGGTTATAAGTCCACTCACATTAGGGGTTGAAAAAATCCATGCATACCCCAACCACTGTATCCTATTTCAGCGTGGCACATCGTTCGAGACTTTAGATACATGTCCTAGGTGTGGGGCTAGTCGGTACAAGAACAATGACCTTCAAAGTGGGGTGGAAGCCTCCACAGGAAAAAGGAAGAAGGGTGGGAAGAAGGTGGTGCAAGAATCTCAGCCCCTAGAGGAAACTCCATTAGGCAACGATGCAAATAAGAGAAGAATTCCTACCCTGGTTATGTGGTACTTGCCAGTGACCGACCGCTTGAGGCGTATGTTCCTAAACCCTAAGGAAGCCGCATTGATGACATGGTGGGATGATGAGCGCAAGGTGGATGATGATACGATCGCACACCCGACCGATTGTAGCCAGTGGCAAGCGTTCGATGCCAAGTACAAAGCAGAATTCAGTGATGACCCACGGAATGTATGGTTCAGCTTGAGCACCGATGGAATGAATCCCTTCAATGAGAGGATGACCGACCACAGCACATGGCCAGTCATCTTGACCATGTACAACCTCCCAACGTATTTGTGTCAGAAGAGGAAGTACCTTCTCCTAATCATTCTTATCTCCGGCCCCAAACAACCAGGCATTGATATACACGTGTTCTTGGAGCCTCTGATGCAAGAAATAGAGAGGCTATGGAGGTATGGGGAGCCGATGTACGATGCATTCCGGCGGGAGGACTTTATATGCAAAGCAATAATATTTGTTACTACCAATGATTACCCTGCATTGTTTGCCCTGTCTGGACAGTTCAAAGGCAAGACTGAATGCTTAGTCTGTTTGGATGGTACTAAATGGGTGTTCCTAGATGGATCCAGGAAGATAGTTTACATAAGGAACCGGAGCTTCTTAAAGACAGGTCACAAGTACCGTGGCAAATTGTACCTAAGATACTATGGCAACATCCCGGAGGATGAACCCCCTCCAGAGAGACGTTGTAATGGAGAACATGTGTTTAGAATGGTCCAAAACATACACGTCATCTATGGAAAGAAGAATCCAGATGGAACAATCAGAGATAGAAGCACACCTCCCATCGAAGGCGAACCATTCAAGAAGCAATCAATCTTCTTTTAGTACCTGCCTTATTGGCTAGACTTGGAGGTCCCCCATGCCATTGATGCGATGCACGTGTAGAAGAATGTCTTTGAGAGTCTCATGACTACCTTGATGGACACGGGCAAGTCAAAGGATGGTCTCAGATCATGGAAAGACATGGTGCAGTTGAACATGATGCCGGCCGGTACAGCAGGATAATGGTAAGTATAGTCTTCCCGCGGCTAGCTTCAACCTAACCCTAGAGGAGAGGAGAGCTATATGCAATTTCCTTAGGGGGTCAGAATGCCGACTGGGTTTTCGGCGAACCCGAAGAAGCTAGTGTCGATGAAGGACCAATCATTAACATACTACAAGGCTCACTATTGTCATGTGATGCTGACAGTGTTCCTACCAATTGCAATCAGGGCTATAAAGCCAGAGTTCCTAAAGATGGCCATCACCCGCATGTGCTACTTCTTTTCGAAGATCTCACAGAAGACAATTCGCAGGCAAGAGCTGAGTGACCTACATGAATTCATGGTGGAGACCCAGAACTAGCTAGAGATGTGTTTACCTCCTGCTTTTTTGATATAATGGTACATCTCATGATTCACCTGGTTCATTAGATCGAGGCGCTAGGCCCTAGCTTCTTGCATGAAATGTGGTCCTACGAGCGGTTCATGTCGGTTCTAAGCCGATACGTGCATAACCGAACACACCCAAAGGGCTCCATGATAGAGGGTTATAATTTCGAAGAAGTCGTCGAGTGCTGCCAAGAGTGGCTAAAAGTACAGAGAGGGATTGGTAATCCCGATTCTCGTCACAAGGGAAGGCTAGCTGGGAAGGGCACAAGTGGTAGGAAAGTGTTCCTTGACAATGATTATAGAGAGGTGAGTCGAGCGCATTATAGTGTCTTGCAGAGTATGGCAGTGATGCAACCGTACATTGATGAACACATGGCTATCATTATGGCCAAGAGGAATGGCCGTTCAGATGATTGGGTTATGAAACAGCATAAGCAACGCCTGACATCATGGTTGAAGGACCAGAACATACAGCCTAGAGAAACCATAGATTCTATTACCATCAGTCGGTTGGTGGCCGGGCCATTGAAACAGGTGACGTCTTGGAATGCTTATGACATCAATGGGTACACATACTATATCGACACAAAGGATAGGAAATCTGTGAATCGGAACAGCGGCGTCCGAATAGAGGCTCTCGATGGAGTGAGGCAAAAGGTCCTGTACTTTGGCATAATTGAAGATATATGGGAACTTGACTATGGAAGGGATATAAAGGTGGCCCTATTTCGATGCTG